ATATATATGTTTGTCTGCGTGATTTACGGTTAATTATGAAATTAAAAATTAATATGCAAACAAAAAATTGTTTGGTCATGTGAATTAATGAATGGTAGCCTTACTGTATATTTTGGGAGATGATAGATGAACTGGGTACATAGAAAATTTTACCGTGAACGTTGTCTCATACCAGACGGGGTATCAAGGAATAATATTTTTAGTGCTTATACCGGATGGGTTATGAGGACGGCTGGTTAGTTGAAAATATTAGATATTAGTTCACGCGTAGTGAGACATTCCTATGGGCCCCAGGGATACTAGTAGGAAAATAAAAAAGGAAAGTTATTGTTCTTACTCATTTGAATATGAGATTGCAATGTTATTTGAGTTATTGTCTCTACAGGTCGATTTTAAAAATCTAGCAATGGTTAATATATGTAATAAATAGTTTTTTTGATGATAAATAAATTTATTTAAATCAAAAGCTCTATTGGTTGTTTTATAATTTTTACCAATCTTCAGTTTTTGTATCAGTGTATAATGTGATATTCTTACTAGATTAGTGTAGCTCACCCTTTCATTAACTATTTCAGATTAAGAGAATTAAAACTCATATCCCAATCAATAAGAGGGTTGTAAATAGTTCACCACCCCAACTCCCTTCAAAACTTAGTGAAGGTCGTCGTAGAATACTCAGCATACTGCCTTTATTTGTTTCTTTAATTTTTGTTTATTCTTTTAGAATGATCATTCACGTAGTCTTATTAGGCATTTTAAATTATTGTGTAATGAATGTAAACCCTAAACTCTATTATTTCGCTTTCACACTTAATTTGTGACCTTATTTTCTTTTAAATTTTGGGACTTTACACAGAAGTCACATATCATATGACTAATAATTCCAAATATTTTTATTTTTATGTTTTATTTTCTTGTAATGAAAATATTATCAACGTAGATAGTTCCTTAAATACTATTACAGGCAAGGGTGACATTAAGCTTAACTCTACATTTGTCTTGAAAAATGTATTAATGTTCCTAAATTGTGTATCGATCTTGAATTGTAAAGTTATATTTGACTATTCTCATTGTGACTTTCAAGACCGAATTCAAGCAAGGTAATTGGATACGTTGAAGTTAAAAACAAATTATACTACTTTGATGCATATGAGGGATCATTATTCGCTATTACTACCAATCTCATAAACTCTAAGATTTAGATTCATCATAAAGTACTAGGACATTCATCCTTCTCCATCTTTAAGGTGATATTTCTATAATTATTTAAGGATTCAGGATATGAAAGTTTACATTGCAATATCTATGAATTTGTAAAACATAAGCGTGTGACATTTTTTTTTAGTAATAAACAAAGTTTAGTTTCGTTTTTATTAATTCGTAGTAATATTTAGGGATCATCTCATATAATTACTATTTGTATCATATATTAACGATTGCACTATAGTCACCTAATTATTTTTACTTAAGAGTAAGATCTGATATCAACTATATCATATATCAAATTTACAATGTGATAAAAATTCAATTTAGAACACCCGTACAGAAATTTCATACCGTTAATTTTAAAAGTTTTTTCAATCACACATCACTTTTTTTTTTCAATCACACACTTTGATCATTTTTCGTCAAGAAAAGATCATGAATCATCTTGTGTCCATATTCTACAATAAAACAAAGTAGCATAACACAAGAATAATAATCTTTTAACCACCACTAGACCTTTTTTCTTCTAAAATAATATTTGGGCAATACTATTATTACTGCCACCTACATTATTAATCGTATACCCGCAAATATTCTGACTTCAGAAGTCCTCTTGAAACATTCACAATAAGTTTACAAACCATCTAGTCCATTGGACATTTGGGTG